AGAATTATAGGGAAGGATCTCCAGATCTAGAGATATTCTAGCACTTTGGTTCTAAGGACTAAAGAGTACTCTTCAGTTCTGACTTTTTAAACCTAATGACCTAAGATGTGAGTGTGAGAAAGGAAAATAAAGGACTCAGGACCATTGGGTGTAATTACATTCAAGCCATCTTAACTAAGTGGGGACTGATCTCTCTCCTTGCCCGCTTCTATTTCTGTAGACAATTCAATAGCCTTTTTTCAATCCATACCTGGCTTCAAATAACATTCACATTCAGGAAGTTCTTCTTTGCATTTAACCCAAATCCTTTCTGCTATAGTTAAAACCCATTTCCTCAGTGGAGATTTGGAACAGCTGGTTCCCATTCTTTTTATGGCAACTCTTCTTAAAGATTCACAGGCATATAAAGGATAGTCATACCAACCTCACCTAAGGCACATAGCTCCTTTTTTAAGCATTCCCAAGAACATTATCCTATCCATATGTCAATAACCAATGGTCCGATATGTGGAAATCTCATTGTGCAATTTCTTTCAAGAAAACAAGTAAGTCAAGGGGGGAAGAGTGCATAAGGGCAATCAATTTCTACTTAAATTATTAAATACCTGCTTTTGTGAAGACACTGCTAATTTGAAGCTTGGGGCAGAACAAAAACTAAAACTATAGCAAAGTGCTTATGTCTGAGTATGAAAGCACACAGGAATGACCACCCTTTGGCCAACTGCCTATAGCCTAGCTCAAGAACATCACCTGTTTGTGGGAGCAAGACAAGGCATCACAGAGTTTTGACAAAGAGCACCCAATGATGGTCTCTCAATGAAATTTCTAACTGTCTTCTCCCCATCACACATCTCAAACTGTTTCTTCTCCAAAGCATTTTTAAAAAAAATCTGGAGCAATACAAAAGATTTTTAGCTGACTTTTAGGAGCAAACAACATATGTTCTTGAACATCTGTACTTTTCCCAAGCTATTTTTTTCCATTATTGTCAAGAGAAGTTTAGTGGAATGTTTCTCCACAGAGGCACAAGTCTATAATACTCCCTGTTGATTACATATAAAAGACACCAAATATTAGTTTATTAAAAGCAGCTTCAACCATTGCCATACAAAGCAGTTCTCTGATGGAACAGATTTATGAACTAACGGCTGAAAGGTATGCAGATCACAAGATCCATGACAAATGTACTTTATTACACGGATCAGAAATTCCATATGTACTAGCAGTTACTGTACAATGATACACAACACCCAACTAAGACCAGTTAAAGGTTTTGCTGATATTGAAAACTATAAAGACACAATGTGAGAGTGAGAAAGTGTTTCATAAGATAGCATAATGCCAAGACAATTCATCGCTTTAGGAAATAAAATACATTCTGCGTTATTATGAACTTACAATATTATAAAGCTATGCCATTCTTTAAATTAAAATTCAAAAGTCTTTGCCCTATTCATTGCTTAAAGCAGATGTTTATAACATTTCTCCATACTTTAATTTGGAGCTTAGTTGAATGAATACCAGATTTAACAACATTAACAAAATTAGGGAGATTTCAGATTTTGTTATTTCCACCACAAAGATACTTAAGTTTACAATCATGTAGTGTCAAAAGACTGGACAGAGCAAAATAAGTACAACACATTTCAAGCAGAACTTTTCCTGGCTGGAAAAAGACCTTCACAGCTTTCAACCTCAATTCCAAATACAATGTTTGAATCCATCCTGCTGCATTCCAACCAAGTGGCTATCCAGATTGAGCTCTACAGTGATGTCCACTTCATCTCCCAGCATCGTGGTTAGGAGATTCCTCTTTAGATCTACATAGTCTGCCTCTATAACTTCCCTTCATAGGTATTCACCCTCTTCTTGGGACAGCCTTACTCACCTCTCAGTTGCAGACTTTGGGTACTACCTCTTCAAACTGCTTCCCCAACTGAAACTAGGGGAGAGAATTGATCCCAAAGCATTGTTTTACAGCTCCAATAATCTATGTAAGGCATTTTCAGAATAGGCATTCTCTAAATGTTGGCTGTTGTTTTTATTATCAAGTGAGTCATATTGGACACATTGTATTTTTCCCCTGCTCTAAAATAGGTGCACAGGACCTTTGGCAATCAACTAGGTAAATTTTAGGATTCACTTAGTAAGCATTTAGTAATCTGGCCCTTACTTTTCTGGCTGCCTGACAAGAGTGGCCTTTCACTTTGTGTAAGCATTTAACAGTCCTCCCTCACTCCTAAACATTTTCCTGTAAAACTGATGTCTTCTACAGTGTTTTTCCAATGCTGGAAAATATGGGAAAAAATTACATTTAAAAATCACTCTGTCAGGTGTCATCAGCAGTTAGTTACTTAACTAGTAAGATTAGTCAACAGCTCTGTTTCTGCAAATTTCAGTCAGAGTATTTACAAACTTGGCAATTTCTTGAGGTCTCTTTAGTCACTTCCAGTTTTATTTGATGTGGTCTAAACTACACATCTTTATCCCTCACCATCAACACCAGCATATTTCAGATATTTTAACCATCATTTATGGCCAGTAAATTTTTCTTCTCCAACTCCTAAAACTCGTATCACAGATATAAGGATCTAAACCTTGAAAACATTCAAATTTCTTAATAAACATATACACACTGCAATGTATTTTACTTAGTATGTGAACTAGTGGGAAAACCTATATATCTACATCAATATGACAGCAAAAAACAATGTGGTTAAAGTCCCTAGTTGACTTCACCTTAGAGCTTCAACTGCAGTTCACATTTCTTCTCTGATTGAAGCACTTATTGGTGTTTGAACACTAATGACCTTGCCTACACCTTCTGTTTTGGATTGGTCAGCCCATTCCTAACCAAGTTACCTAGGGAAATCCAGTCTGGTTTGGGCCAGAGATATGAGGATACTCCTATAAATCGTTTCTCTACTAAAACATGCTCTGTATCTAACCCCAAGCTTGCATCAGTCTAATCCCATCATGGATAGACACAAAGAGTAAGTACTGTACGCTAAAATTACCTTTTACTCCTCAACAATTTTGTACATTCTTGAGGCAGAATGGCATTGTTCTTACAATGCCATTCAAGTGAACTGCTGAATTTGAATCCCAGTTCTCCTGGTTTGTTATTATGACCTGTGTGCTGTGTGCCTGTTTCCTCAAGTGTACCTAGTATTTGCACCCAACTCAGTACTGCTGACTGGATTAAATACTTTAAGCAATTTTTGATTATTCTTATATATTTTTAAATTTCTTTAAAAAACAAAATGTCCCGATTTCTAATTCCAAAAATGAGTTGGTGCTTAGCTTGAGCTCCACCTGGTGGCTTTATAACAATTCTCTGGAAAATGGTCTAATAAAAAATGACAAATTTCAAAAAGATAATTATTTAAAAGATTAAAGGATTATGCTACACTTCTGGATTAACCTTGAATAAAGTAGCAAGGAAGATATCATACCGCTACACTAACTTTGGAATTTCAGAGTAAATTTCCTGCCAAAATGACAGGTGGGAAGAATGCTGCTGGCAGTACAGTTCAGGAACTCAGTGCCTTAGATCCACTTACAATACCATGCAAGGTAATTTCTCTTCTGTAGCCAGCTTTCCAGGGGCCATGACAGTCCAGAACATGAATTCCTCATTTATTTTTTTTAGTAGTGGTGTTTTTTGTTAACTATTAAGTTAAATCCTAAACGGACAGATTTGATGATTGGACATTTGATGACTGGAACTTAAGTGAATATCCTAAGACTATCAAGTGTTCAAAGCTCTACACTTCTATCACAGGAATTAGATGTTTTAAGCCAGAGAAAATACAGAAAATCTCAGGCTTTGATTTCTCACTTCAACTTAGAAGAAATCCAGTTAGAAAGTACAAAATTTAGAGGAAATGCTAAATTTAGACGCTTCATTGAAAGTAAGTTTAAGCAAAAGCAAAATTAGCAAATTATAGCAAGACAGATTTAACTAAAACAAACGTCATTACAGCACCATTTCTAATAGTACATTGTTTTTCAAAAAACTGGTGTCAGAATCTAAGTTGAACAAGTTTCTTGATTGCTAAGTTTCTGTAAGACTACCCTTTCTATGAATATTTGAACGTGTACCATTTCCCAAAGTGATGTGACAAGAAAAATCTTTTTATGAAGCAGGTATCAAGAAAAACTATGAACACACTTTGGGAAACGCTGCATTATATTGTATTAGGCTACAGTATATTAAAACTGAAGAATACTAAATTAGTTTCAAGGAAAAACCTGATATGTTCTAATTTCCTAAAAAGTATACCAATTTGTACATGCTAATAGTCTAAAATTAAGACTTCATAAAAATTTAATGGAAGAATCTGGTCTTCCCCATTACTGGGAAACTTTAAGGACAAACTTCAGTATCTACAAACAAAATATCCTTTATTCTGAATTATACAAAGTAAAAACACCAAACAAGAACTGTTTACAAGATCCACTGATGTCATATTTTTAAATGATTACATAAGAAATTTGAGTTCACTCACATGTCCTTATTGACTTTAATTACCGAGTTAGAAGAACGATTACAACCATATTCAACAGGATTTTGTTGTCTGGGTAGGAGCATCCAACTAAAACATCAGTACAACTTTCATTCATCAAAGAAAATATTTTGTTCAAGTTCCCAAAATAAAATTGAGGACCTATTTTGAAGGTCTGAATTGAAGAAAAAAGAACAAGTTGAAAACTGTATTCTTTCAGTGGGAGCTAAAAATCAATGTACACGTTCTAATCAGACATCTGTTTAAGTTTTTAAAGGTCTACCAGGCCAAACCCTTTGCTGCCTTTTTTCCCCTTCCTTTCCCTCGCTTTGCCTTTAGCTTTTTTATCTGTCTCTGGTTCATCCATACTGGATACTGTCCATTCTGGTCTAGAAGGGTCTTTTTGTTCCTCTTAATCTCAGTCTCCATTTTCATGTCATCTGAAAAAAATGCAAAAACTATTACCAGTCATGTATCAAAAACCAACCCTGTGAAAGCATATACAAGGACCATCAGAACCGAAGGTGGTCTGAAATTACAGAAAAACAAAAACAAAAACACCTTTTTTGTGGGCATGCTCTTTGACGACTACTGAAAACTCCTTAAAGCAAACTCAATAGATCAGACACACGCTGGTAAATTCTTACAACCATGAAAGATGTAAAAATGTGTGTAAGTAAACTAAGGACATCATCTATTTGCTCAGTGAGAAACTTTCTAAAGAATGTTGTCCTAACTGTCCTTTGGAATAGTGAAGTTAAATAGCAAACTTTAGTATTAACACAAGCCACAAGCACCTGGCATGACTGGCCATTTCTTGGGAACCTGAACTAAATTCTAAGAAACTTAGAATGAATTTCTAATGAACCCAATGGAGTAATAGCAGAGATAGGCAAACAACAGAGAAGGAAGACCTGCATATATACTGGGGCTGCCATATTTCTATCCAGATCAGGTACCCTTCTCCACTGTAAGAGGGAACTTGACAGGAAGCTCCATGCAATTGTGCTATGATATGCCTTTCACCACCTTCTCTACTAGGAAGGAACAAACCCAGAATGTCCCATCCTGAGATCTGTGGTATACAAGATCTTGTATTTTATCTTTACTACCTAATATATTAGATTACATAGTCATCATTGTTTCCACTCCACTGAGAACAGTACTGGTCAATAACAGCCACCTGGTAACTAATTGTTTAATGATTATTTTAGGTGAATTCCAGATCCTGAGATGTTGTGGCCCACACAAGCTCCTTGTCCTCATGGAGTTTAGTATTCGGTTCAGGGGACAATAACCACGGAAGAAAACTGCAGTGTGTGTGTGGTTTTTTAGAGAGGTACTGGAACCAGACTAAGTAAGACTTGGTAGACTCTTTCATGGAAGGAAAATGAAAGGTTCTAAGCATGCAAGTGATAAAATCTGATTTCTATCGTGAATTGATCACACTGGTTGGTATGTTGAAGATAAAAAGGGAGCAAAAAGTGAAGGACAGAGAACAAAAAGGCTACTATCACATCACTGGCAAGAGAAGTTGGTCATGTGGATTAAGATGAAAGCAGGAGAAAAATGAATAGATTTGTGCTATAATGTATGGATAACAAATAAGACTTGCTAATGGTTCACACACACACTTTGGCCTCTCTGATTTCTGGTCATTATTTTAGTGTCTCACTTAAATACAAACAACAACTACTGACCACCAGACATTTAAGAAAAGTCTCTAACATGAAAGATAAACACAAACAGAAAGGAATAGGAGGGTAGGGGTAATGGGCGGAAGGGGGAAAACAGATAATACATATAGTAGATTTAAATTTCAAAAACTAATTATACCCTTGGAGAGATTAGAGAAGATCCAGAGCAAGAACAGAAAGCTATAAAGAAAGGAACAGTAAAAGTAAAAAAGGAAACTTTTAGAAATGAGAAATAACAGTAAAACCAAGTAACACAAGACCTACAAAATAAAGTCCAGAAAATCAGAAATTATAACAAAAGAAACAAGAGAGAAAAGAAAATTAGAGACTCAAGAGTACATAAACATCATATCCAACATCTATAAAGAACTTACAACCCAACAAAAAAGGACTAACAACCTAATTTTACAAAGCTGCATAGGACTTGAACAGACCTTTCTCCAAAGATAAGCAAATGGTCAGTAAGTATTTGAAAAGGCATTTAGTATCATTAGTCATTAGGAAAATGCAAGTCAAAATGTTAGCATTCCAGAGGCAGAGGCGGGAAGACAGCCAGTTCCAGGCCAATTTGGGCCACACAATGAAATGCTATCAAAAATGAAAATAAAATTACAATGAGATACTACTTCATACTCACAAGGATGGCTATAGTGAAAAAAAAAACAAAACCAAAACAAAAACAAAAATAAAACCTACAAAGTAAGCATTAGCAAGCAATAGTGTGAAAAAACTAGAACCCTTCTACATTGCTAGTGGGAATGTAAAATAGTGTTGCTGATATGGAAGACAGTAAACTAAGAATTACCACAGCAATTCTATTCACTAGCACATACCCCAAAGAACTGCAAACAAGTATTCTAACAAAAACTTGCATGCAAATGTTCACAGCACTATTCACTACATAGTCAGAAGATGGAAGAACCCAAATGTCCTTTATCCAAAGAATGAACAATCAAAATACAGCATATACTACAGACAACTGTTCAATCTTAAAAAGAAAATATTGATATATGTCACAATATGAGTGAACCTCAAAAACTTTATGCTAAGTGAAAAAAGCAAGGCATAAAAGATCATGTTGTATGACTCCATTTATATGATATATCTAAAATAGATAAATCCATAGAGACAGAAAGCTCATTAGTGGTTGTCAGGCTAGAAGTTGGAGGAAGAGGAAGACAGACTGCTTAATGGATACAGGGTTTCCTTTTAGGGTGATGAAAATATTTTGGAAGTAAAGGTGATATGGTGCAACACTGTGAATGTACTAAAATTCTACTGAATTGTACACATTAAAATGGTTAATTTGTTACGTAAATTTTGTCTCAAGAACTGGCAGGGTTGGCATGTATGTGAGGAAAGGAAGACAGCAAGTGAAGGCCAAGTGTTTCAAACTTTCAAGTAGAGTGGAATAAAGCAGTAGATTAAGAGAAATCTGAGACCAAGAGAGGAATTATTTCTTACTTTCCTTTTGGAAATGGAATATCTCAGATCACATTGATACTGTTGGAAATCAGCAAAGGACACTGATAAGAAAGATGCACGGGAAAAGCCCTTGAGAATGCAAAAGGGGAGCAGATTCACAAATAGAGAAACCGGCCTTTGATTTATGAAAGAGGGACAATAGACTCTACAATTGAATTCTTACAGACCTGGGAGATGGAAAGAAGGAAATACTTCATTGACTGCCTCTAATTTTTTAAGGAATTGAAGTAAAGAGCATTTTGTAAGTTATTTGTAAGAGGGAAAGGAATGGAATAGGAAGAAAAATTTGAAAAGTGTTATTGTTAAGGATGGGAAAGGAAGCTTCTAGGATTGGAAACATGAATATTGCTCTCTTCCTTGGCGATAAAATGCTTTATAAGTATAATATATAACCATAATATATAAATGTAATTTTAAGAATCTGTTGTTATGAGTGTTTAATTTAGCTTGCTGCCAAACTGTTCCATTAGCTCTGAAAAATAATGAGCTTTTTCCTCTGCTGAAAGCAGCACTGGATACAGTCTTCAACTTTAGACTATATATAAGATACAGAGGTCCATTCCTAGAATCTGCCAAAATAAAATAGAGAAACTAATTTTCAGGATGATAGCGTAAGTGGATTAAGACCCATAGAGTGAGAACTAGATCTTGCAAACAGTAAAATGATGACCTCTTTTTATGCTGCCTAAATGCTGACTGAATTGTGCACACTTCCAATCAGGGCACATTAGGTTTGTCTACAGGTGTAGTATGGTCTATTCCTGAGACACTCAAGCTGTATAATCACTGAAGACTCATCTCGCACAATCAATGTGACTATTCACATGCACAGGCTTTAAAACAGTTTAGCACAAAATCTCTAGTAGCTCAATAAGCCTTTAAAAAATAGGCATGTGGATATAGTAAGTGTGTAGGAAACAGGTGGAGAGGTGGGTAGAAGACAGTCAAAAAACAAACAAAAAAAATCACAAAGGAAAAGTGATTTTTTTTTTAAATGAAGCACATAAACTCACCTTTTTCATTCTCCTTTACACTTTGAATTTTCTCTTGGTGATGGCTGGGTATCACCACAGTTGCTATCTCTTGAACATCTTTCATTAAAACATCACTGTCTACTTTGAGAATATTTTTAAGTCTGTTGAGCTCTTTTGGGGCATTCTTCTTTCTCTTTTCAGCACGCATCTTCCTTTTCCACTTACTTCGTAAACTTTTAGCCATCTTTTACCTGGCAGTTACCAAAAATACATATTCAAAAAACAAATTATTTACTATTAAAAAAAAGAGGCAAATTCTTGGAAAACCAGACCAACAGGTATTTCTACAAAACAGGAACAAATGGAAGGCAAATTGCACTTTGTTAAGACTGTCTTAATGTCCAATTTATGTGAAAACCAATGTGGTATATACAGCTATTAACAATTGAGAACTCCAAATCAAACTCCCTGTACTCAACGACAAACTATACATCAACCTGCTTCTGAAAGCTCTTTAGTTTCCTTACAAGAAGCATAAATTTAATTCTTTCCAGAAATGCAATGAGCATCATAATCTAACCTTTGTGAAAGTTTACAAACGCAACATGATTTTGATGATCACCACCCAGCAACGTTCCTCATTATTCAACCCCTTCGGGCTGATCTAGCTACCTTAAGCTTATCTGTATTTCCATGCTTGCTTTCTTCCCACCGCTGAGTCCCAACCGTAAATCCTTCACAAAGTATTAGTGTGCACTTTTAAAAGCTTAGAGCGTATTCTCGGCCTTTCTTAGAATTCTTTAATGATTTCTCCCTCCATCAAATATATCTCATTTAACCCTCCCTCGTTCCCCAAACACTTGCAAGCTAATTGTATCTGTAAAAAACCCAAACTAGATCCATTCAACACCTTCACATTTGCTGTTCCTATGCTGGAAACTCCTCTTCCCAAAGCTTGCTTGAGCCTTGTAAGCCCCTCCCTGCTTAATACTAGTTAGTCACCCGCGGGGGACCGTGGACTCCACCACGGCAGAAGTGAAATGGATCTTGTTCACCGCTGAATCACTCAGCGCGTAGTGCTTTAATACAGTAAAGGATTCATAAACATTAGGTGAATGCGTACCTAGTTGAAATTCAGTTTTTAAAGGCCACAATCACAAACTCTGTTCCCTTGTCTAAAACGACCGAAACCCAGCGCGAAGGGTTGCGGTAAATAACCCTGTGGGCGGAAGTTCACTTTAGCGGAATTAAATCACCAGGGAGAGCTCCATTTTATCCTGCTGACAGGGAAGCCAGGAGGCTGCCATCAAGACCTCCGGGACCTCGCCCTCAATGGAGTCCTGAATCTCCAGACAGGAGGCCAACCCTGGCCAAAAGAGGGTCAAGCTCGAGAAGAAATCCTCTACGGGAGGCAGAATGAAGCCCCGAGTCTTACGCCGCACTAGATAAAGGACGCACGCAACTCACCTGAGAAACAAGGACACACGCCACACACCACGCGCCGACCGGAAACCCGCACACTTCCGCCTTCCGGCCGGGGCGGGCTCACTGCATGCCGGGAGCCGTAGGTTCGGGAACTCGTGGGAGGTGGTGTCTCTGGGACCCGTTCTGATTCGCTGTCTGCGGGTCTTGAAGCTTGGCGGGTCCCATGCCGGTGTGGAAGTCGGATTTGGAGAAGGCAAAACAGTTCCCGGCGAGGATCAGGCCCCAGGTTAGCCGGCTTCCCCGACACGGGCGGTGTAGCCGGGAAACTATCACAGGTCACAGGTAGGGAGCCCAGAATCGAGTTTTACATTTCAAGTCCCGCCTCACCGGGACGCAGTTATTAGGGATTTGCTTAGATCGCATCGGCCTAGATCACGTGTTTTTCCTAAGGTCGTACTGAGCTTTATTTGCAACCTGAAATTTTCCCATCCGGCTCATGCTCTCACGGATAGATGTACACAGACGTCAAAACTTACAAATTGTAGACTTTGAACATGTCCAGTGTATTGTAAGTCATTATATCTCTGAGCGGTCACTAAAACCATGAAACAATTATTTCCTATCTCAAAAAGTTTAAAGGGTAAAAGGATGAAACTATTTCAGTTCAATCACTATTTACCTGTCTGATACTTACATTCCAAATACAATGCTAAGACTAGAATGATTGTAGTTACGCGAACAACACTATTTTACATGTTTCTAATAGCATAGGCTTTAGAACACACCGGGACTTCAACACTTGTGAATGATATGTCTTAGAACCTAGATTTCCTTGCTCCTAAGGTGAAGATAACACACCCTCGTTGATCCTAGGTAGGTGATAAGCACTCAACAAATAGTAGCTCCTCTTCTGTACTTTCAAACACATAACTACCTGTATGATTTGTAAGCAGTGTTTTCTAGAGATTTACGACATATACCAAAAAACAAGAAAGGAATTATATTTAATTCCTGTCAGTTCCTTGTGAGATATTCGTGTATTTTCTTGTTTGTTTAAATTTGTTTCCTTTAGAAGCCATGCACCAGGTGGCACATGCCTGCCATCCCAGCACTTGGCAGGAGGGGAGGGAAAGAGAGAGAGGAAAAAAGGAAGGGAGAGAGGGGTATGGAAATTATTGAATTCAGAATAGCAAGGTTTTTTTTTAAACATAGATTGAAAACTACAACAATGTGATATAAAAATGGAAGAATGCCTAGGAAACCTAGTTTCATTAAAAGGTAGATTAAAACTGTGCACTGGTGGCTCACTCCTGTAATTCTAGCTACTCAGGAAACAGATCAGGAGGATCACAGTAAGAAACCAGCCAGGGCAAATAGTTCTCCAGACCCTATCTTGAAAATACCCACACAGAGAAAGGGCTGGAGGAGTAGCTCAAGTGGTAGAGTGCCTGCCTAGAGAGAGTGAGGCTCTGAGTTCAAACTCCAGTACCACAAAAAAGGGTAGATTAAGATCTTATAGAGTAACTGAGTTTCTATTTTACGAGTTATTCATAAGCCTAACATTTCAAATTAGAATTTAGCTACATCTCCCTGAAAATATAAGTGCACATTGCATTTTAAGTTAGAGATAATTAAATTCAGATAGTCCAAACTGACTGCATTTTGCCTAACATACTAAAAGACCAAGGTTTTTAACAGAAATTTGGCACCAGAAAAAGCTACCTATTATGAAAATGTCATGGTGTAACAATTCAGCATTACAAATATTTTAAAAAGGTGAATTATGGGCTACTTTGTTAGAAAAGTTTTTACTTATGTCCCTCACCAGTTTGTATAAAAAGTAGTTCTTTTTTATTTTTAGGCAGTACTGGGGTTTGAACTCAGGTCCTACATGCTTTCTAGGCAGGTGTTCTACTATTTGAGCCACTCCACCAGCCCCATAAAAAGTTCTAACAGAATAGTCAAGTGGCCTTAGTATTACTATTTTAAAATCCTTAATCTACTCCCTCATTCATACATTCAAGTGTGAACTCTGTGATAGTCACTTTGCTGGATATAAAAGATGAAGGGCCCAAATAAATGTTAGAATAACTAAGCACTAAGGAGGAGTAAGGCTTAAAGCTCAAACAAAATATTGCTTTAACTTCTCACAGAGCTGGAGGGCACCAGTGGAACTAGAAGCACAGTGGTTAGTGCTGAATACCTGACAGGAAACAGATTTCCCATCGCAAAGGTATGCTGTGCTTCTTGGTACCAGCAAGCATGTGAGGCTTCCATGGAATCCCTGATCTGCATGACTTAATAAAGAACAGGAAGATTTCTGGAATTCAGATGATGACTCCTACATTGCCAGTTCCCTAGATAATAAAGACTTCAGTACTAAGCTCTATTAGGATGAAAGGTAAATAGCAAAAGGAAATTCTCAGCTGCTTAAAAAAAAAGGCTGCAGCTGACTTCAAGTAGATTGAAGCCAGGTCTGGGGTCTGCACTGAAGAAATTAAGGCAGGTACATTAGGCCCACTGCTCATCTTACCCCAAAAGATATTCAGTAACACAAAAGTTCTCAAACCGGACTCCTTTCTCCTTTTCCTGCTACCTTTCTTGGCTGTTCCTCTTGTCTCTTGCACAATGAGTTGCATGTTGTATGTCCAAGTCCTGCAAATTCCACTTAAATATGTCCTCAGTCTGCATATTTTCACATTCACTTGATGTAAAAAAAGAAGTTGCACATGCCCGTATACTTAGCAGTTCTCTTCTAGGTGTATTACCTACTTTGTCAAACTCATTGTGAGAGTAAACAAGGAGCAACCACATGAAATTCCTTGACAGAATGTACGACTATCATTCATTTATAAAATGTAATACTCTATACCAGTGGTTTTCAAATGTTTTGCTCCTGGGATCCCTTTATACTCTTAAAATGTGACATCAAATAAATTAAAATCATTTATTGAAGATTTAAGTCATTTTAAAGGGATAAATTAGACAATATGTTTCTGAAAAATGTATTTCCTAAATAAAAACTAATTTAGCTAAAAGAATAAATTGTTTTATATTTTTAAAATGCCAAATCTGCTTTTGCTTATGTTTTTAGTCATAATTCAGTATGTTCTGCTTGGTGTGAAAATGCTGACAGTAGCTGACATTAATTAAGCAGTTTATACATCTATCTCATTTCATCCTTTTAACAGTACAATAAGGTAGGTAATATTAGTATTCTCATTATAAAGATGAGACAAATAGCCTAAAAATGAAGGATAAGTAACTTGCCAAGTATCATATAAACAGCTGGTTGCATAGCAAATATTCTACCCTAGATGTTCTTACCCACTGTGCTGTTAAACTTGATTTACTGTATCTTGCACCTGGGTAGATACTCAAAAAATTAATTGATGATAGATTTACTTCTCAAAGTCATTAAAAACTAAATCTGTGCTATTATTTCAACTTACTATCTAGAAAATGATGCTTAATGTTATGAGCTGAATTGTATCCCCTAAAAATTCATATGATGAAATCCTAACCCCCAATACCTCAGAATATGAATATTTTTGGAGATAGGTCATGAAAGAAGTTCTTTTTTTAAATTGTATTTTATATATTAGAAATGAATAAATGTAAATTGAAATTAAATAACATACCATTTGTAATAGCATAAAATATGACAGAGTTGACAAGTGTGACAAAAAATATTAACAATCCATGCCCTGGAAATTATAAAATAGTGTTCAGAAACATTAAAGAAGGCTTAAAAAAATAGAAATATCACAGATTGGAAGACTCACATTGGTAAGATGGTAAATGTTTCCAAATTGGTTTATGAAATTAATGCAACACTTAGGAAAGGAACAAGGGTTTTTGCTAGTTGAGTATAAGGATAGCTATACAGTGGAGTTGATCCCATAATTTTTCCTGTGTATGTGTGTTACTTCTAGTTAATTCTTCTTGTCTAACCCTTTCTCTAGTTCCTGTCCCCTTTTATTGGCCTCAGTTGCTTTTAAGTATCTTGCTTTAGTTTCTCTCATTGAGGGCAACAAATGCTAACTAATTTTTTTAGGTGTCTTACCTATCCTTATATTCCCCTTGTGTGCTCTCGCTTTTATCATGTTATAAAGTCCAATCCCCTTGTTGTGTTTGCCCTTGATCTAATGTCCGCATATGAGGGAGAACATCGCGATTTTTTGGTCTTTTGGGCCAGGCTAACCTCACTCAGAATGATTTCTCAAATTCCATCCATTTCCAGCGAATGATAACATTTTGTTCTTCTTCATGGCTGCATAAATTCCATTGTGTATGGATTTCCACATTTTCTTGAACCATGTCAGTAGTGGGCATCTTGGCTGTTTCCATAATTGGCTATTGTGAATAAGCTGTGCAATAAACATGGCGTGTGCAGGTGCCCTCCTGGAGTAACCTGTGTTTGCAGTCTTTTGGGTATATCCCCAAGAGTGGTATTCTGGATCAAAATGGTAGATCAATGTTTAGCTTTTTAAGTAGCCTCCAAATTTTTTTCCAGAGTGGTTGTACTAGTTTACATTCCCACCAACAGTGTAAGAGGGTTCCTTTTTCCCTGCATCCTCGCCAACACCTGTTGGTGGTGGTGTTGCTAATGATGGCTATTGTAACGGGTGAGGTGGAATCTTAGTGTGGTTTTAATTTGCATTTCCTTAATGGCTAGAGATGGTAAGCATTTTTTCATATGATTTTGGCCATTTGAATTTCTTCTTTTGAGAAAGTTCTGTTTAGTTCACTTGCCTGTTTCTTTGTTGGTTCATTAGTTTTGGGAGAATTTAGTTTTTTAAGTTCCCTATATATTCTGGTTATCAGTCCTTTGTCTGATGTGTAGCTGGCAAATATTTTCTCCTACTCTGTGGGTGTTCTCTTCAGTTTAGAGACCATTTCTTTTGTTGAGCAGAAGTCTTTTAGTTTTATGAAGTGCCATTTATCTATGCTGTCTCTTAGTTGCTGTGCTGCTGGGGTTTTGTTGAGAAAGTTCTTACCTATACCTACTAACTCCAGAGTATTTCCTACTCTTTCCTGTATCAACTTTAGAGTTTGTGGTCTGATATTAAGATTCTTGATCCATTTTGAGTTAATATTGGTATAGGGTGATATACATGGATCTAGTTTCAGTTTTTTGCAGACTGCTAACCAGTTTTCCCAACAGTTATTGTTGAAGAGGCTGGTTTTTCTCCATTGTATATTTTTAGCATCTTTGTCAAAGACAAGTTGGTTATAGTTGTGTGGCTTCATATCTGGGTCCTCTATTCTGTTCCACTGGTCTTCATGTCTGTTTTTGTGCCAGTACCATGCTGTTTTTACTGTTTTGCTTTGTAATACAGTTTGAAGTCAGGTATCGTGATACCTCCAGCATTGTTCTTTTGACTGAATATTGCCTTGGCTATTCGCGGCCTCATGTGTTTCCATATAAATTTAACGGTAGATTTTTCAATGTCTTTAATGAATGTCATTGGAATTTTGATAGGAATTGCATTAAACATGTAGATTACTTTTGGGAGTATAGACATTTTTACTATGTTGATTCTACCAATCCATGAGCATGGGAAATCTCTCCACTTTCTATAGTCTTCCTCAATCTTTCTTCAGAATTTTATAGTTATCCTTGTAGAGATTGTTCACATCCTTTGTTACATTTACACCTAGGTATTTTGAGTTTTTTTGAGGCTATTGTAAATGGAATTGTTTTCATATATTCTTTTTCAGTTTGTTCATTATTAGTGTATAGAAATGATAAAGATTTTTCTATGTTGATTTTATATCCTGCTACCTTGCTGTAGCTATTGATGGTGTCTGGGAGCTTCTGAGTAGAGTTTTTTGGGTCTTTAAGGTATAGGATCATGTCATCTGCAAATAGGGATATTTTGACAGTTTCTTTACCTATTTGTATTCCTTTTATTCCTTCTTCTTGCCTAATTGCTCTGGCTAGGAATTTCAGTACTATGTTGAATAGGAGTGGAGATAGTGGGCATCCTTGTCTAGTTCCTGACTTTAGAAGGAATGGTTTCAGTTTTTTCTCCATTAAGTATAATGCTGGCTGTAGGTTGTCGTATATAGCTTTTATAATGTTGAGGTACTTTCCTTCTATTCCTAGTTTTTCTTAGAGCTTTTCATCATGAAATGGTTTGGATCTTATCAAAGGCTTTTTCTGCATCTATTGAGATGATCAAGTGGTTTTTGTCTTTGCTTCTGTTAATGTGGTTTATTACGTTTATTGATTTTCGTATGTTGAACCACCCCTGCATCCCTGGGATGAAGCCTACTTGGTCATGGTGAATAATCTTTTTGATGTGTTGCTGAATTTGGTTTGCCATTATTTTGTGAGGATTTTTGCATCAATGGTTCATTAAGGAGATTGGCCTATAGTTCTCCTTTTTGGAGGTGTCTTTTGCCTGGTTTTGGATAAGTGTAATACTGGCTTCATAAAATGTGGTTTGGCAGTTTCCTTCCCTTTCTATTTCGTGGAACAGTTTAAGGAGGGTTGGTATCAGTTCTTTAAAGGTCTGATAGAATTCAGCAGAGAATCCATCAGGTCCTGGACTTTTCTTTTTGGGGAGACTCTTGATTGCTGCTTCAATTTCATTTTGTGTTATAGGTCTATTCAGGTGATTAATATCCTCTTGGTTCAGTTTTAGATGATCATATGTATCTAGAAATGAAAGAAGTTCTTAAGGAAAAGTCAGATTGTTAGGGTGTACCCTAATATGACTGATGCCCTATATGAAGAGAAAATCTGGACACAGACAGAGGGTACACCAGGTAAAGACAGCCAAGGAGAGAGGCCTCAGAAAAAAATCAACCCTGCCAGCACTCAGCTTGATCTTGGACTTGCTTTCAGCACTGTGAGAAAATAAGTTTATGTTATTAAACCACTCAGTGTATGGTACTTTTGTTATGGCAGCCCAAGCACCCTAATACACTCGTCCCCTCTTGTCTGCAGGGGATATATTAAAGACTCCTGGTGGGTGCCTGAAACCACAAATAGTACCAAACCCTATATATATTATGTTTTTGCTATACATGCAAATGCATGATTAAATTTAATTTATAAATTAGGCACAGTAAGAGATTAACAATAATAAAGTAGAAAACATTTAACAATATAATAAAAGTTATGTGAATGTGTTGTTTCTCTCAAAGTATATTGTACTGTATTTATTCTTGTGGTGCGAGATTATATGCCTATGTGATGAGATGACGTGAGAAGAGTTATATAGACTTTGTGATGAACAGGTAGGCTACTATTTTGACCTTCTGACCATGTGTTCGAAGATCATTTACTTCAGGCAAGATGAAGCAGAACAGTATGAGATTTCATCATGCTGCTCAGAACACATAGTTTAAAACACGATATTTCTGGAATTTTCTACTTAATATTTTTGTACCACAAAATGTAACTGTAGGTAACTGAAAGCACACAATGTGAAACTGTAAATAAGGGGAGACTATGATGGGGAATTTGCCAAAGTTTCACTGTCATTGGTACACTAAATGCTTTTCAAATCAACACAAATGGAACTATAAGACACTGTTTTCCAAATATTTTATTTAAAATATATGTACTTAATATCAGATGGACACATATCTTTGGGGTCTTGACCATGCTATGATTTTAAAAATGAAACCTGTTCTTAAAAAAATTAGTCAAATTTTATGTCATATCTTACTTTTAAGCAGACCTTTAACTTTAAATTTATTAATAAAATGCCGCTAGCATTTTAATATAGTTTAATACAATACTGAATAATTCTCTGTAGAATTTATATTTTGTATTTTTTCCTTTCTAAATGGGAGTAAAATCTCCCAGTTAGTTTTGAGATTCATACTTTAAGTATGATAAAGACACTAGTACTTTAGGATCAAAATCAAATCTGCTATTTAGGTAAAATTTAGATTAAATCACTAGACAAAAATTACTTGATATGTTTAATCTAAAAATTATTCTTAACACACACACACATGCACACACACAGAGAGAGACAGTACTGAGGTTTGAACTCAAGAGCCTCATGCTTGCTAGGCATAGCCTCACCAGCTCACCACTCCACCAGCTCATAAATTATATTTGAATTGTAAATTAACAGCCGAGTATGGTGAAAAAATAAAACTAAGTCAGGCATAGTGGTACATATCTGTAATCCAAAGAGGCTGAAGGCAGGTGAATTTTAAGTTTGAGGCCAACCTGAGCTATGTAGTGAGTCCCTGTCTCAGAAAAAAAAAATTAAAATAGAAGTTTATCTCCTACCTGAGATTTAAGTCAATGATTTAGAAATGATATATGATAAAGAATAAGATTTTAAAGCTCAGAAGAATAAAAAATACCAATAAAGACCATGAAAGTATTTAATATTTAATTTTAACTCAACTTTATTATTACATAATGGAACAATCTCTGTATACTGCTTTCACTTATTTTTTATTAACTGCTTCCAAAACCCGTAACAGGTGCAGGAATAAGTTGATAACATCCAAGTAGAGGCTGATGGCAGCTAGTACATACTCTTCAGGGGATAGTTTATACATCAATGAGTGTGTATCATAGATGATGAATCCACAGAAAAGAAGGGCTCCTACTGCAGAGAGGACCAATTCCACTGTCGCACTATAAAAAAAAATCTATAGGCAAGAGATTAAAGAAATGTTTATACTTGAGAACACCATTAAGAGTACTTAATTTACTTCACTGATGATCTGCTATATACATATTTAATAAGTGTATAACACTGAATTATAAATGTTAAATGAAAAGCAGAAAGAGGCAGAACAGGTAGGTCCAAGTTTGCGCCTGAAAGATGGTAGGATGAATGGATGAGAGAACACATATCCTCCCTTCAATCAAATTACCTACTTGACTTTGAATATTAGCATTCTACATATAAGTTATTTTAAAATATATTTCTTTTTCAGAATTAAATATGCCACTTAGAGGCTGACAGTTACAAATGAGGGTCTTTTTCTATGTAATTTAACTCACTTGCCCATTCATCTTTCTTTCAATCAATAATAATGACCAACATAAGACCTTGGCTTTATGTTATATTTATAGAATATTCTATAATCATTCTCTATAGAAGTATTTCAGATAATTATACCTATGTGTCCTCTAAGAGTAACTCTCCAACTTTTTGAGGTTATTTATATTGACATAGCCAGATTTATATTCAAGTTAACCATTCTAAGACAACTTACCTTCAAGAATCCTGACAAACATAATATCCACAAAACAGCAAATAGTCTATAAAAATAAAATTTTAATGATTTAGATTATTGTTCCTCACAAAAACTCTGTAAGCCCATTCACCATTTTCTGAAGAAACAGTTCCATCCAGATTTTTGCCAAAGAATAGAATATAAGAATTCATAAATATACAATGAATATTTACCGTACACATTTTGTTTTTCTTTTAAAGAAATTGAAATAACAGCTATTCAACTGTTTTATGGTGTAAAAACTAATAAAGAGCATTATTTTTAAAGTTTTCAATGGTGCAGAAAGAAAATATTGACATAAACAAATCATTAGGGGCATTTCCATTCAGAAACCCATTAAAAAGTACTAGAAAATATACACATGAACAAATAGAATTTCCATGAATTTGTATTTTTACACCATATAACAAAAGCAAACTATTCTGTGAATATGCACATCTATTAAAGACCCTCAAAATATCCTTTGTAATTTTATTCTTATGTATTAAGAACTTATACTTACAAATCTGCCCCTACTATAATTTTCTTTCTTTCTTTTTTTTTTTTTTTGCAGTACTGCAGTTTGAACTTAGCAGGACTTGAGACGCACCTGTAGTCACTACTGTTATTCTTTGAGTTGCCATTCAACTGTTACATACACAAAGTATAATTACATGACAAAGAACATCTAAGAAGTCAGTGTTTTGTTATCAAATATGGGACTTATCTGCTGCTTCAGGCTACAGGGAATTGTGGAATCTGAATTTACGCTCCCTAAGTAAAATCAGGCAAAATAAATGAAACAACAGCTTTCACCTGTTGGACAGCAGGAAACACAAGGCAATGATTTCAGAGATAAGGAAGACAAAGATCTACAACTGCCCCAGCTACAGAGTTTCCAGGCTTCAATGTAGGGACAGGAAGCCACACAGAGACTTGTGGTCTCCTTGAACTGAGGAGACAAAAGTTCAGAGGTCAGGGAGGCTAAGATAGCTAGACTCTGCAGCACAGAGTACCACACGGAAGAGAGCAATACAGAGAAAAAGAGCTCTGGTGATATTTATAGGATTCCCTAGAATCTTTAGTTGAGTACCAATAATTGCATGCATATGAAGATATGACCCAAGTTAGGGAAGATCCACCATACAGAGGTAGGCAGAACAATCCTCAGAACTCACACAGGGTTGAGATAGTTTGCATTCACAGCAGCCAGAGCAGAAGGACCTCCAAAATCCATGAGGTTCTATCTCAGTAATGGGCCAAATTAGCTCTAAACCAAAAGCTGTTGTGGTCCTACATAACAGAGCCTCAAAAGGGTCAAAGAATTTCCAAGGAACGGTAATAACATCTTAGAAGAACAAAGCTAAGAATATTTAACATGATAAAAAAATTTCAGAGCTCAACAATGAACAATTTGTAATGGCCAACTTCCAGTCAGAAATTATAAAGGTATATGAAATGAAGGAAATATGACCTATAACAAGGAGAAAAGCCAACAGAAACAACTAGGTATGACACAATGATAGAATTAGTAGACAATGACTTTAAAAATATATTCTCCATGTTCAAGGAGTTGGAGGAAAGCTGATCATAAGGAGAAAAAAAGGAAGATATAATTCATTTTCAGAAGACTCAAACTGAAGTAACGTCTGTAGATGAAAACTACAATCTATGAAATAAGAATCCTCTGACTGAGATTAGCAGAAGAGTAGAAGAAAGATTAATGAATTTGAAAACCATAACAGAAACTAAACTAAATGACCACACACAAAAAAAAAAGACTGAAAAGAAAATGAGCAGAATATCAACAAACTGGGACATCAGCATTCTAACATACATGTAAATGGAGTTCCAAAGTAGAGAAGAGAGATGAAAAATTTGAGTAAAACATGCCCCAAATTTTCCATATTTGATGAAAACTAAGTTGACAGATTCAAGCAGAAAAATGAAAAAAAAAAAAAAAGAATGTACTAACCAAATTACTGAAAACCAGTGATAAAGATAAATGTTATAATTAGGAGAAAAAAAGATATGTACTAGGAGCAAATATAAGACAGACAGTAAACTTCTAGTCAGAAATTGTTAACACACAAAGGCTATTTCATAATGATGTGAGGAATGAGTTCACCAAGAGGACATAACAATTCTAAATGTTTTTATATCTAAAAAGAACCTCAAATAAATGATGTAAAACTTAAAGAACATAGAGGAGAAACAGATCAATCCAAAATGTAGTTGGAAATCTCAACACCCCTATCATATTGATAGAACAGATGGCAGAAAATTGGTAAGCACTATCAACTAATCTGATCTGACATTTATAAAATATTCCATCCAGTAGCAGCAAAATGTGTATTTATCATCATATCACAAAAAAAACTCAGTTAATGCAAAAAGGCTGAAATCATACAAAAAATTTCTCTAAAAATAACAGGAATAAATGAAATATCAAACATACTTAGTATCGTAAATCTTTTTTGGTGACTAGAGGGTGTGGTAAAATTCCAGCCCTCAGTTCTCTCTCTGAAATAGCCACAAAATTTCTCAAGATATGCCTGGCAAACCTAAACTAGAATGAAGTACCTGCCACTACCAATATAGGTCCTTCGGGATTGAAAAGGATTTAGGACTTACTTTTTACTCGTAAGCCCAAGGGAAACTCCAAAGCTTCTGCACCAAGGGCATGGAGAAGGTGGTATTTGAAATTGTAAAGTGTCTCAGATTTTACCCTATTTGCAGGCCAGTAAGTTAGCCTGGTATAGTTTCACAGGACAAAGCATAAGATTTCCTGGGTCTGAGATAAGGAACATTTTATTTCATCAATAGCCATAGTCAGAGAATCATCATTTTTATACCAGAAAACTCAGTCTATACAGGGTGATGCCAAGAGGACCAAACACACACACAGTGGATTGTGTTATAAGAGAAGAACCTTAAACAATCTTTAAAAAAAATTATAATGGAGAGTTATCATGCTTGCTCTTTGCTGTAGGAGGAGGCACTATATCTACCAAGGCTTTTCACTATAAAAACAACCTTGAAAAGATAATCTGGGACAAAAGACAGAAACACAAGGGATTCGTGAGAAATTGTCTCCCAAAAGATGTTAAGATAGTTTCCGAAGGCTCTGACAAGAGATTAGGATAGGGCTGCCAAAGGTCTTTGAATATTAATTTATTCCATTATTTACTACAGCTGGGCATATAAAGTGCTACATTTGAGCATAGTCAGACTGTGGATAATAAATACTGCAGTGCACATCTTTTCTCCACTACCAGTTGGGTCTCCAACCCAGTTGGTTAAGCATGTCCTCCCTGGTCCTCACCCAGGGACCTAGGTACATGCACAGTAAAGGGTTATTTAGGCTCACAGGCTCCAATTTATGAGTGTGTGGTAAGATCTTGAGTTAAGAGTTGTGAGGAACAGAGTAGAAGAAGCCTATGAGGACATAAGCACAGTTGTACTCAATGTTCTGCAGGCTGAGTTTGGCACAGCCCCAGCTACAGAAGAGAGCAAGAAAGTGAGATGCAGCTCAGCTTTTCCTAAGTTGTTTAACACAGGTTTCTCCTGTTAAAATGTCACATCCCTCCCCAAGAACCACTGCTCCACCTCCTTGTTTACCACTGGATATAAAAGACAATGCTTTTGGATGAAGGCAGGTTTTTTGATGGGGGTGTTTTTTGGCTGAAGGGAAATTGCTGGAGGGAGATTGCTGAAGGAGGAAAATGAATTGCTGAAGGGGAATTGCTAAAGGGGAAAACTCAAGAGAGAACATGGGTTTTAGAAAAGCTAAGTTAGAGAAAAGCTAAAGAGAACATGGGACAGTGCAGGTCTGAGCACCAAGGCTTTAAGAAAGCTAAAGGGAGAACACAGAATAGTGCAAGTCTGAGGACTGGGACTTTAACAGCTGTGTTAATGCAGTTTTTAGACAAAGACTTTAAGAGACATTATGCTAAAGAAAAGCTATGAGAAAACATGGGACAGAGTGAGTCTAAGGAAAGAGGTTTTAAAGAACAGAAAAAGAAGACTTTAGAAGTGAGGTTTTGAAGAATAGAAAAGAAAAACTTTAAAAGCAACGTTTTAAAGAATTGTAAAGATAGAGAAAAGCAGCAGAGTAAACAAAGAGAATAATAGAGAAAAGAACCAATGAGGCTGTTGTGCATCTCCATCCGAGCACCCAACACTCCTGGCCCCAACTTTTTGCCTGTCTGTCTATCCTGTGTCCTTTCTGCATCTCCTGTTGTCCCCAGGTAAGCCCAGTTAGGTTCAGTAGTAACAAGGGAGTGAAAAAAAGCTCACTTCAAAGAGTTTTCAGTTTATGTCAATATTCTCTATCAATACAGTAATAGTCAAGCAAAGATTTGAAGGTCATGTCCTATAAATACGCAAAGAGATGATCTCTTACTAACCCCCATTTTAAGACATCCAAAGCTAACAGTATAGCATTTCTCTTTTAAAACCACCTTTAATATTAAAGACATCTATTATTATCCAAGAGTATGTAACTTACCCTGCTCCAAATTTGCTGAAATCTCTCTTAGATTGTAGAGTATATACAGTCAAACCAAGAAATACTGCAGTAGACAGTACAAAAGCTTGCAGAATAATATATACATCATAGAAAGTAACTGTAAAATTAAAACATTAATTTACAATGTACATAAACTCAATATAAAAAAGGCTTTTCTGGCATAATATAAATGTTTTATTATTTCCTATACCATTCATCAATAAAAACAATTATTCCTTATCCTACCTTGGTACAGTAAAACCACACTCATAATGCAATAAACACGCTATAATAATTCATTCATACAACATAAGGGATCATATTATGAAGTTAGTGAAATGACTATAGAGATAACACACAGATAACCAGTTAGAAGTTTTAGGGATATGGTAGAGTGACTCTCATCAATCTCTGTCCCAGCTGCAGGTTATCACCATCTTTGGTGACTGTCCACTATGGCTAAATATCAATAGGGAAGACTTTGGGTCTTCTAGGAGCTCCTGGACAGTAGCAGCAATTCTAGCCACCATCTGGTCATTAGTCATACCAGGTGACCCACTCAATTCAAGGCAATTGAACAAGAAAAATGCTGAAGCTGTCTGGATTGGCCTGCCTTCACCTACCCCGCAGAAGACAGAAACCAACCACTAATTGCTTTATATTTAAATCAGTATTATCTTTGAATACATTATTGTTTCTGAATATGTATCAAATTCCCCCCCTGCAATTTTAGAATGATCATCCAGATTGACTATTCTATGGCTACAATAATACAACTGCTTACCATTTTATCAGAATGCTAAATTATATGCTCTTTAAAGAAGGTTAAGTGCTTTGAACTCAAAACCACTTAAGTAATTTTAAATTTTTCAGGGTTTAATTATCCATATTTCTACTTATAAATTATTGAAATTTCTTTATGACATGACAGGATTAGAGAGGCAAACACAGAAGAAAAGAAAGTTAATTTTGCTTCTTGCCAATAATTTTATTATAAAATATAATTAGTGAGTAAAATATTGTTGTCAATCATCCCATAGGGTACATCAAGTAATTATGACAGATACTTGGCCTTCAAACATATATTTAACATTAACTACAGAAACAGACAGATTATAGTTGTTTCTCATAGAGCCTTTTAGTAAAATACGAAGGTGGAGCAAATAAAGCACAGGCTGACGGATACAATTCTTAGGGAAGATAGTTATGTTATCAAAGCTTAAAATGGCATGTTCTCAAGTTCTTCAAAGATCCCTTTAAATCAGGGGGAAGATTAGCTATGCTAATCTTTTATTAATAGGAAAACATAAATAAAATACTGCTCTCCATTCCTTTTGTTTTCCTTAAACTTTTCCATTTCCTCTAGGCTCAGCTGAACTGTATAAAGTATAAATATTTGACTTTTGCTTATCTTTTTAGGCAATCTTTATCCTATGCCACATTTTTTAAATAGAACATTCCATTATGTTAAACTTTAACTCCAAATATCTTTTTTTTTACCTGAATGATTTATCCACATTAACATATAGAAACACAATTCTGGCTTACCAACAGTGGCCACAGTCAGAGCTTCCAACAGTGTCTAAGAAAAGGAAATTGAAATTAATTAATACATGTCAAATGTATACTATCTCATATCCATTTTCCAGTTTCTAAGCAGATCACTGTGATCCCCTGGGACTAATCTCATTTCAGCCTCAAAGGATCCCTGTGAAGTATATAGGACAGGGCAATTATGAAGCCAAACACAATGGAAATGAGACCTCAATGTATTGAGAATATTTAAATCTAATTGTGGTTCCATTACTCTTTAAGCTCTAATCAGATTTTTCATATGTGTAATAGGAAGATTACACAGAAGAAATAATAGAAAATGCTGTTTTTCTCACTTTATATAATGTAAATAAAATGAGGGGGGTAGGGGGAAAAATGATCCAAACATTGTATGCACATATGAATAAACGAAAAAATAAAATACTGCAAATCATGAATACATTTATAAAAACCACAAACAAGCATGTATAAAAATAAGCATATATAAAAAAACCACAAACAAGCACAATAATAATAAAATATTTGAGGTAGTACTTTGATGTGGCAGTCTTAAAACCTCTTTCTTCCTCAGAAGCAGAATTTTAATCTGGACACCTGAATGTTCATATTAAACATTGTATTTTCAGGCTCCTCTGCAAGCTCGATCTGGCATGTCACTATTTTCTAGCCAATTTAATGTGAGTAGAGAAGTATACAGCTTCAGCTGGCTGGGCTGTGCTCTAAAAGCCCAAAGCTTGCTCGCTTGCTCTCTCCTCTCTCCCTCTCTCTCTCTCTCTCTCTCTCTCTCTCTCTCTCTCTCTCTCTCTCTTATATAACTGGATATTATATGGCTATAACAGTGAGCTATCTTATTATACCATACAATACTTTATAAATGCCTGAATCCTAACAGGCACCTTAGATTTGTATATGAAAGAAAAAAAAACTATCTTGTTTAAGCCATTGTTATTTTGTCATTATTTAAGCCATGTCATAAGTAGCTGAACCCTATTTATTTATCCTAAATAAGATTTGTACTCTAGCCTCTCTTTCCCTTTAATTACATTATCTTTACTTTGTCTTATATGTTTACTCTAGTTATATTTTATCAACCATCTCATAAACCACATCACAAAGGCAAGAACAGAAGTAACAGCAATAATTGTGTAATTACACTTCTGGTAGAAACATTCTCTGTTCCCCACCCTACCTAAAATCAAAAATTATCAGAACCATAGCAAAAATGGTATTAGAAATTATGCATAGATGTGGAGGCAACGAAGCTACTGCCATGTCTCAGTGCAGTTTGTAGGGCCAGGGAAGTGGTAGCAACAGGTGATATTCATAACATGATCTAAGACAAGAAATCCCATTCCACATTCAAGTATCTGAAGAACAGTGTAAATATTAGTAAAGACAACACTAGGAAAACATAGACTAATGATCCCTTTAAAAAATAAGTGCACACGTGCTCATGCCCACCCATACACAGCCTCCTAGGGTAGGTAAAACTCATTTCCTTTATTATTTTGGTAGATCAGAACAAAACAAACCCAGTGTCAGAGGTCACTAAGTAATCTGAGGAAATTTATTTTATAAATTTCCCTATTTGATAAACCACTTTCATCTGTGAGCATGATGAACAAGTCACTTAGCAGTAAGTGATCATCTTGCCTATAAGCATTTGGCTGATGTTCTTCTAGTGAGTTCTCCCTGCCGGCCAAAAGTTGGCCCATACCCCCTTCCTACTTAGAAATCACTCTGAAAGGAAGCTTATGTAGATTTGAAGAGAAAGTTTATATGATCTTTTGTGTATGTGTATGGGTGTGTGTTCTCCTTCTGTCTTGGTACACAGCTGACTAGACCAGGAGTTGGAATCTGGCCCAGGAATGGCAACCTGTACACTGGCTAGCAATCTAAAGTGTGACCTGTGCTACCAGCATCTGTGCCAATCAGATTCTTTCTCACTTAGGAATCTGAACTCAAAAGAACGAAGAAGCACTGGTAGTAGGAGTTGAAGCCAAAAGTAAATACATGATGTGAGGGCCAACAGTGTGTCACATAAAAAAGATACAAAAAGGGAAAAAATGTGTGAGGACAATTGTGAGAGGGAACAGATGCAATGGTGCAAGAGAGAGAACACAAATTCTTGTCACTGAATTTCCTACAATAGTATAATTTCTAGAACTTTCCTCTGGTTACTCTTCTTAAGACCTGGTGGATTTGAGCTGGTGGATGTCCAAGCTCTTTTATTAAAAAAAAAAAAAAAAAACCCTTCCATTATTTGAGGTAACATGGATTAGAGTTGCAAATGAAAGAGCTTAAGATTTAAAATGAATAATCTCTTCTATAATTTTCAAGGTCATGAGCTTTTTTGTCATATTAACACAAACTCATTATCAGAATTCACAAACTTTCTTTAATTTAAAACATTTTAGTGTGATCAGTAGCTTTTCCACTCTTCATTGACTGTAAATATTCATATTATTGCTTTGGAATATTTTGAAGGAAATTTTCAGGTCAGAATACAAAAATCATAATGAACGTGCCAAGAGCTAAAATATTGTAAAAATACATTGAATCTTACCAATCTTATTCAAACTAAGATTGAGTGTTCATAGGTGACATTTGAGGTTTTAATTTTCACAAACATTTCAACAAATATGACTTAAAGTTAGATTTTACCATCTATAAATTTAAAACAAGGGAGTAAAGCACGTCATTTGAGCAAAATGGCTCCTGGGCAGGACAGCAATGACATACAAACACTGAGGAGTTAGTCATAAAGAATTTAACTTCTACAAAACGGAGGCCACAATATAATGCCCCCAACCACAGAATATTAGGAGTAGAAAGTGTCACAGGGATCATATATCTTAATATTTTCATTTTACATATGAGAAAAATTAGATACAGAAAGGCTAAATGTCACATAACCAGATAGCTATAAAACTAGGTCATGTGATTCCAATTCAGTATTTTTTCCTCTAAACCCTCAATTAAAACACTACTTTGGAAAGCTCAGGCTAAATGTTAAAGGAATAGACATTGTCAAAATACTCACGAATCCAAAAAGCAGGTACAGGTTAAGAGGATGCTTATGTCTGTTTAAAGTCAGTGCAAAAATCAAACCCAGGGATCCAAGGGCAGACACCAAAATTAAGGCAGGACTGAAAAACATAATTTTTAAAAAAAAAGTTTCAAGTTTAAAGATAGCATTAATAGGGTTACCCAACTTAGTAAAATCTATTTTATGTGTTCATAAAAGTACAAGAAAAAATCTGGAATGATCCACACCAAACTATGAAAAGAAATTATTTTTATATCTGGAAAAGTTGAGGTGTGTGAGGTGGGGAGGAGCTGGAAGATAAAGAAATGAACCCATAGTGAGAGAGAGGAATTTTCTTTCTTCCTTCATGAACTTCTATAACATTTCAGTAATGTTTATAATTAGCATACTTTTATAACTAAAACACAATAAAGAAAAAGATATTAGATAATAAACAAATTTTATACATAACTACTCTTTTGGAGTATTTGCCATATGCCTACAATTTAAATTATTTTACCCAAATGGCAAACTAATAGTTTAAGACACCCCTTTACTAGGGGAAGGGGAGACAGAAATTCTTTATTTTTAAGAAAATATTCATTGTTTATTTTTCCTTTCTTTTAATGTAAAGAAATCATTATTTCTAGCCATACAATTATGTTGAATGTAAAATCTTTAACAAGGGATGGATCAAGGTGACCTTTTCTGAAAACTCAGTAAAGTCCACATCAAGAAACAAAACTCAAATGAGCACACATTTATGCTAACTGAAAATGATTCAGAATCATTTTATTACCATACCTTGCATGTACAAATGTCCGTATAGATTCAAAGTACAGGAACACTGCAGAGGTCACTGTAGTTAAGAGAACCTGCAGAGACAGGATGCTGTAGACTTTTCTGAGAAAGGCTAAAAGGGAAAAAAATTACACATGACCACCTCCTCCACTTATGACAGAACTGTAAGACCACATTTCTTCTTAGAAAAGTTAAGGTCTACATGCATTCTTTGTTAAATCTTAATCTAAATAACATACTCTATAACTGAAACTAGGAAAACATTAATTCAAAATTTTTCAGGTATAATTAATCCTCCAAAATAACATGAGCTTAAAAAAGTTAAGCTAATAGGCAAAAAAGTAAATGTTTCATCAGCATAAAAAAGTATCTAATACCTCTTTGTACACAACGGCAAATAACAAAGCAAATGATTAAAAACATAACTATTTACAAAATGGTTCTGTCTTGAGTCAGAAATACAATGCATATAGGTAGGCCAGGCATGGTGACTCATGCCTGTAATCCTAGCTACTCAGGAAGTGTAAGTAGATCTTGGTGCAAGGCTGGCCCAAGCAAAAAACACAATACCCTATCTGAAGAATAACTAAAGCAGAAACGGCTAGGGGTATGGCTCAATTGGTAGAGCACCTGCCTAGCAATAGCAAGGCCCTGAGTTCAAACCCCAGCACCACAAAAAGAAAAAGAAATCATACATTTACATATAAATTTTCTAAGTCTTAATTTCCAAAGCAGTAAAAATGTTTCCCTAAAGTGAAACTTATCCTTAAAAGGCAAACAAAATATAAACATACTTTTGCAAGTAGACTTAATAAGTCTACTTGCATTTCATCCCTATTAGACTACAAAGACTAAAATTTCCTAACAATAGGAAGCAAGCCTTATTCATATGTCACCCAGCCTCATAAGTAACACAGAAGTCATTCATTCATATTTACTGTTAAATAAATTTTTATATTGAATTAATGAAGGGAGGATTTTGTGATTCTAGGAAGAAAGGTATTATTCTGAAAAGAATAATGGAGCCATAGCTTCTTCAAGCACTGTGCTTAGGTAGGCAACAAAAACCATGAAGAATGACTTTTAACCAAAAGTCACTAATGTGAGGAATATGTGATAAGGGCTTTTAAGAGGAATTTACATGGGTTTCTTTAAAATGTTTTTCTGTTATAAAAGTAATAAATGCCTGGGTATGCTGGTGCACACTTGTAACCCCAGCACTCAGGTGGCTGAGGCAGAAGCATCATGAGTTCCAGGCTAGCTTGTCCATATAGTAAGACCCTGTCTCAACAAAGAAACAAATACACAAATAAGTAAACTATTTACTGGTGGCATCTAAAAAACACAGAAGCAAAGAACTGAACATGAAAATTATCCTTAGTAATTTGACCCACAGAAAACCATTATTAACACCTTAATTATTCTACTCTTATTACATGCATACTTGTGTATATACACATATACAAAGAAACATTAGCTCTTTCTGCATTCACTGAAAATGTGCCCCAAAGGAAGAGGTCATGGTGTGTGTGATTTCCATAACCAGGTGATAAAAGGCGTGTGGCTTCCTTCATGCTTTCTCATGGATTGCTTGCTGGAGGAAGCATGCCATGAGCCATTCTAATAGCCCTATAGAGAAAACCTGAGGGGCTCCAGCCAGCAGTCATGTGAGTAAAATTTCTGCAAGCAGATCCCCCAGTCCAATCAAGCCTTCAGATGACTGCAGCCCTGCCCAGCACCTTGGTTGGAACCTTCTGAGAGACCCTGAGTCAGAACAATACAGCTAAGCCACTGCCAAATTCCCAACCCTTGGATACTGTGTGAGATAAAAAATATTTGTTGCTTTAAGCCACTAAATTTTGGGGTAATTTGTTGCAAAGCAGCAACAAATAGCTAATACACATGGCTGGTCATTGTCATATAACGCAAGTGGCATCTCTTTTAAGAGTTCTTTCCCTGGCCATTCCTTAACTAAAATAGCTGCCACCCTAACCCAGTTTCTAGTCATACCTCTTCATTTCTTTTCTTCAGAGAACTTATCACAGCTAGTGGTTTATTTATTGGCTCATCTCTCTAGGGTCTATCTCTTCCAATGACAAATGACAACTCTTGAGAACTAATACAATGTATGCTGCTATATCACTAATCAATACAGAGCCCAATCAAGGTTCAAAAATGAAAGAAAATGCTCCATGTCTAAAGAAACTAAAATTAAAACTAGATAACTTTTTTTTTTAAATCTACCACAAGACTTAGCAAACTGTGGTCCTTTGGTCCAGTCCAGCCCAACACTTGGCTTTGTCAGGAAAGTTTTCCTAGGATTCAGTCACACTCACTCATTCATGTATTCTCTACAGCTGCTTTTTAACACTGGCAGAGTTTAGGATTTGGAACAGAGACAGTGTGGCCCACGAAGTTGAAAATATTTATTACTCGCCTTTTGTAGAAAATGTACATCATCCCCAGTCTACCAGATTGTCAAAGATTAAGTTCAGGGTTGGTGAGAGTGCAAAGATACCCTCAAATTTTGTTTTCTGGAGTCAACAGTTACAATTTCTTTGTAGGGCAACTGAGAAGTTTAAAATTTAATCTTTTATCTCTACAACTCCACTATTAAAAAATTATTCTACAATAATCTTGGGAAATTTACAAAGATATGGTAGGATGTTCCCTGAAGCACAATTTGAAGGAATAAAAAGTAACAACCATCAAAAGGAGACGTTTAACTAGGTACAGTGGCTCACGCCTGGAATCTAAGGTACTTGGGATAGGAAGAGATAGGAGAGAGGTGGAAATAGAAGGATTGTAGTTTGAGGTCAGCCAGTCTGGACAAAAAGTTAGCGAGACCCTATCTCAAAGAGTAAGCCAGGGCCGGGGGTGTTGCTCAAATGGTAGAGCACACTGCCTAGCAAGTATGAAGCCGAGTTCAAAACCCTAGTACTGCAAAAAAAAAAAGAACCTTAATAAAATTATTAAATGTATATCAATGATTTAAATGATTCTTAATGGCAGAAGCTTGGCTCAGCAAGGCCTCTCTAATGCATGACTTCTATTCACACACTAACCACCACCTCTATAAAGAAATTTGATTTCTTCCAATGTCAGTCATTTTCTATCCCTGTTCTTCCCTAAAGTGATCCATTCTGTCTTTTCATCATTTATGGGACCAACAGGGACCCTCTAGTTCTCATCTACTCCTAATACTTGTAGTACCATCTCTTAATTACTCTAATGTATCAAATTACCAATGTCCTGTTTATAGCTGGATATAATTTGAGAATGCCTTATTTACTTAAAAGGCATACTAAAAAGCTAAGCTTTAATACCAATTCTCTTCAGACTCTTCCAAAAGATTGAAGAGAAGAAAATACTTCAAACTCATTCTATGAAGTCAGCATTACCCTGATAACAAACCCAAAGATTCCACAAAACTACAGAGCAATATGCCTGATGAATATTGATGCAAAAATTCTCAACAAACAGGATTCAGCAGCATATAAAATGGATTAAACATCATGACTAAGGGGGATTTATTCTTATATGTATAAAACCCTGTTAGAACTAATAAATGAGGTTAGCAAAGTTCCAACATACAAAATTAACTTGCAAAAGCAAATTACATTTTTATTCCCTAACAATGAGAAAACTGAAAAGGAAACAGAAAAAACAGCTCCATTTACAACTATATCACAAAGAATAACATACTCAGGAATAAACCTAACCAAGAAGGCAAACATGAAAACTATAAACAGTGCTGAAAGAAATTAAAGAACATAGAAATCTAAGTGAAAAGACATCCATGTTCATAGCTTAGCAGATTTAAAGTATACTTTATAAGTATATGAAGATATACTCAAAGTATATCTTACGAAGATATACTACCCAAAGCGATGCAAAGATTTAATGCAATCCCTATCAAAACTCCATTGGCATTTTTTTCAGAAATGGAAAATCCATCCTAAAATTCATATGGAATCTCAAGAGACTCCAAGGAGACAAATTAACATTTAAAAAGAACAAAGTTGGGGGTCTCATACTTCCTGATTTCAAAGCTACATTAATCAAAACAGTATCATCATAAAGACTGACATTAGACCAATGGAATAGAATAGAAGCCCAGAAACAGAGTTCCAATTTTCTTTATATCACTTGTTCATATTAAAAAATCAAATGATTTTTGACAAGGGTACTGACCATGCCAGGGGGGAAAGGACAGTCTCTTCAACAAGCAGTATAAAGAAAATTACATCTCTACATGCAAAAGAATGAAGCTGGTCCATTTCCTAACACTATAGATAAAGATCAACTGAATAAGGATCTACAACCTAAAACTATAGAAGTCTTAGAAGAAATTATAGGGGACACAGTCTGGTGGTTTCTTACAAAATTAAACCTACTCTTCCACATGACCTGCCAATAGTATTTACCCAAATGAGTTGAAAACACATCCACACAAAAACCCATACATGAATGTTTACAAAGCAGCTTTATCTAGAGTTGCCAAAACTCAGAAGCAGCCAAGATGTCCTTTAGCAGGTGAATGGATACATTTTGATACAGGTTGACAAATGAACATTTCTCCAATACCAAAAGGAAATGATCTATCAAGACTTGAAAAGACGTAAGAGGAAAACTTAATGCACACTACAGTACTAAGGAAAGACAACAGCCTGGAGGGAAAAAAAAAAAAAAAAGACCTACCTATTGTATGATTACAATGATTCAGCGTTCTGGAAAAGGCAAAGCTATGGAGACAGTTAACAATATTTGCTACAGGTTAGCTGCGGGGGGAGGCAAGCATAGAAGAACTTTATGGCACAATAATGGCACACGGATGTAATTATACATTTGTCAGAACCCATAAAATACACAGCACAAAGGGTAAACTAGAATGGAAACTATGGACTCTGCTGGGCTTTTACAACGTGTCAATCTAGGTTCACTGGTTATCATAAAGGTGCCACTCTGATCCAGGATGTTGATAACAAAAGAGGCTTTGTATTCAGCAAGGGATATAAAACAACTCTGAGGACTTTCTGCTCAATGTTGCTATGGAGTCTAAAATTGCTTTTAAGAATGCCTATTTTGTTTAACTAGGCAAAGGAATTAGTAATATTTCTCCAAAACTATATACAAATGGCCCACAAAAACATTTTTTTTAAATGCTCAACATCCCTATTCATTAGGGAAATACACATCAAAACAAAAATGAGGTATCACTTCACACTCATTTTGGATGGCTACTTTCATTTTAAACATACAACACGGAAAATAATATGGCAAAGATGTGAAGAAACTGGAAACCTTGTATGCTTGCTGCTGGTGAGAATGTAAAATGGTGCAGCTGTATGGCAGTTCCTTAAAAAGTTAAAAACAGAATTCCCATTCAAAATCCAGCAATAACAAGTTAAAAATAGCTGGGCACCAGTGGCTCACACCTGTAATCCTAGCTGTTTGGGAGGCTGAGATAGAGAGGATTATGGTTTGAGGCCAAGTGGGGCAAACAGTTCCCAAAACCCCATCTCCAAAATAACCAGGGCAAGATGAACTGGAGGTGTGGCTCCAGAGGTAGAGCTCTTGCTTTGCAAATGTGAAGCCCTGAGTTCAAACCCCAGTCCTACCAAAAAAGAAAAAAACATGTTAAAAATAGAATTATCATTCAAAATCTAGCCATTGCACTTTTGGCTATGTACTCAAAAGAATTAAAAGATGTGCTAACAGCCGTATTTCTAACAGCATTATTTGCAACTGCCAAGAGAAGCAAAGCAAAGGTCCCCAACGAATGAGTAGATAAGCAAAATTTGGTGAGTACATACATTGTAACGTTAATTAGCCTTAAAAAGGAAATTCTGACACATGCGACAATATGGATGCACCTGAAAGCCACTGTGCTAACTGAAACAAGCCAGTTACAAAAATCCTAGCCAGAAAGCAGAGTGGAGGTTCCCTAGGGGAAGCGAGGTGTCGCCCGGGCGGAACTCGCAGCCCGCGGGGGACCCACCAGCACCTGAGCTCCCGGAGGGCACTGCGCCCCGAAAGCGGACACCTGGCGTCGGCCACAACGTCCCGAGGCAAACTCAGTATAAAGAGGAGCCCTGGCATTGCTTGGGTCTAAAGAAGCCACACCAGCCGGGCTGCGACGCTGAGCGCTGGGGAGCGCAGGCCTCGGGCGGCCGGGGCGGGGACCCTAGGGACTCCGGGGACCCCGGCGGCGTCCACCTACCCATCCGGATGTGCACGCTGGCAGAGGCCACGCAACTGCCATAGTTGAAGTCATCCTCGATGGAGGAGCAGGGGTAGCGGGAGCCCGGTTCGGCCATGTCGCTCACAGAACCCCGGCCGAGCCAGGGACACCAAACTGACCACAACGGCCTTCGCCCCACTTCCGGGACGCAGCGGTCCAGACTGAACTAGCCGAGCCGCCTGGCGGGGCGAGCCCAGAACTAGTCGATCAAAAACTCCAGCAAGGCTAAGACCCCTGAGAGGGCAGATCACGTTCTCCGCGACATTGAAGGGAAACTTTTCTTGGATTTTCCTCAGAAAGTTTCTTAAATTCTGTCTCTCCCCTGGAGAGTTGCTTAAAGTGAAAGAAGAGATGGATTCATCCATTCCACAAATACCTCTCTCATTAATGCATCCACTTCTTTGATAGACACACCAGGGATACACTTTTCTCTCTCTCTTTTTTTTTAACAATAATAATCCCTGCGATTACCGAACACTTCCTATAAATCATGGTTTGGGAATAGAATAAAGCCGTATGCTGAAAGCAAATAGACACCAACCACAGAAGAGTGGAGTGGTGTAGACGGGTCCTCAAGGAAGTGACATCTGCGAAGACACGGCAAAGCTCAGTTGATGGAGAGGACACATATCAAAGAATGAGGCTGAACAGGTAAACAACGGCCATGATGGAGAAGGTCATGATCAAAGACAGGGAAAGGATCATCATACTATATTAACCTAAGAGCAGAGTCAATTTTCATCATGTCATTCCACTACTGACATGAGGTGAGACTACTCAGAGTAATATCAACAGTGGGACCCTTGGATTTTTTTTTTTTTTGATGAGTTTACTTTAATTCACCTACATTGCCCAATCCTCATTTTAAACAAAGCACCCAAAGACTAGGCAAGTGGAATTCAGAATACTTGTGGAACAATCTATTCTGAAACAATCCTTAAACATCATATTACCAGGGACTTTTGTCAAAAGGACTAATCTCCCTTCCACAATAAGAACATGTCATTATGTTTATAAATGTTTTAGTGGCATATTACTTGTTTCAATAAAGCCATAATAACAGCATTTATTGTAGAGAACAAAACTAAAGAGGAACTGGGAACTCATTTTCTTATTGACTACAGTATTAACAACCTTTGATCCCCTAACTCTTACTAATCACAAAATATAAATTCCAGATGGATTGTGCATCTTAATGTGAAAGCTAAAACATGAAATTTAAACTATATAGGAGAATGTCTTTATAATTTGGAAAAAGGCAATCGCTTCCAAAACCAGATACAAAACAGCAAAAGATTGACAAAGTAAAGTATACTAAAATTGAGAAATTCTAAGTAATCAAAATACATGAGTGAAAAACAAGCCCTAGAGAGTGTAGAGAAAGATTTTTAGTACACATATAATCTACATAAGGCTCCTGTCCAAAATATAAAAACAACTTTTAAATCCAGAATCCCGCCCCCCAGAAAAAAGGTTACCAATAGAAAAAAGACTAGGTTAGGTACCACATATAGAGACACACCCCCCCACAAAGCCAAATGACCAATAAACATGAAAACATGCTTACCCTCATTAGTGATCAGAGAAATACAGATAAATTCCAAAATGAGAAATCCCAAAGCACTCACCAAATGATTAAAATTAGGGCATTGACAGTATCAAGTGTTTTTAAGACTGAGGATTAATGGAACTCTAAGCAGCACTGGCTTCACAGGTGTGTCACCTGTGCTACTGCACAGAGCCCTGCACTCATGAGGACCTTGTATTTGGTTTAATGCTCGGCTGTTGCATTTTGAAATTCTTAATAATTTTGCTTTTGAAATTGTGTTTATAAGTGAAGGTAAAAAGGACAGTAGAGTGTGAGTAAGAATACAACAGGTACATACAATATGGATGTCCTCTGTCCCATGACAACCATTTCCATTTCAGCATTTAGTATACCGCATGAACACAGAATTTTCTTGGACCTTCAACACATGGTAGTTAAGCTAGCCTCAAGACATGTCACAGCTATGACTGAGTAAAAGGAGAGAGAGGGAGGGCACTGACAGTTGTAGAAAACAAGCTCTCCTTACCAACCAGAACTTACTTGAACACAGAAAGAAAGCAATGATGTTCTAAGAAACATAAATGACAAAGAATCTGACAATGTCCTCTTTTACTTGTGTTCCTTTCTGGTATTATTATAAGCCAAGTACTTATAATAAACAGGAAGACATAGAAGGAAAGGGAAAGACAGGCAACTGTATTTCCTTGTCTTTTCAGACTATCCCAATCGGAAGCTGAAGGTGGAGATGTTACTACAGTGTGCACATATAGAGAAGTGAAATTAAAATAGGTACTTTTGTGCAGCTTCTCCACAGTTCATGCAAGAAAGAAATATATATAATGTATAAGCTCTGAGATAAAACTTGTGCAATTTTGGTGATTCCATAGGCAAGTTAAATGCTCCTTTATATTTTCATTTAAAACTGGCCTTGCACAATATAAAGATCAATGGTAAAACTTGTACTAGTAATTTTAAATGATATTTTTTCTTTATTACTCTACGGAATTAAATAGCAAGTAAAAACATCACAGCAAGTCAAGATATTGCAAAAGAAAATTAAAAACATTATAATTTAGTACTTTTAATGGATCTTTTTCTTACTTTTGAAGAAGAATTCCCACATTTTTATTTTGCCCTGAGCCCCATAAATAATCTAACTTGCCCTGCTAGTGGGAGTGTAAAGTGGAGCAAGCCCTTTGGAAAATTGTTCCACAATATCTACTAAAAATTAAACATCTAGTACAAGTTCTGTAACTCAGCATTTGTATTCTTGATAGAAATTCATGTATAGGCTTACAATAATACACATAGCACAATTATTTGCAATATACAGAAACTATAAAGAATCAAGATGTCCATTATCAGACAAACGAATAAATAAGTTGTAGTATATTCATACAATTGTTTAAATAATGAAAATGAACAAATTATCATACAGGAAAACCTCATAAACATAATGCTGAGCAAAATGAACCAGATTTTTTAAAAAAACATATATTATGTGATTTAATGTAAAGTTGAAGAGGAAACAAATTAATCCAGGGTTTTAGATGTCAGGAAGTTGTTTATCTTTGGGGAGGAGGAAGGGATAATAATTGACAGAAGTACTTGGAATGACTTCTGGGATTCTGGTAATGTTCTGTTTCCTGGCTGATTACATGTGTTCACTTTGTGACAACATAGCAAGCTGCTTATACTTTGGTTTTCTGGTATAAAATAAAAATTAGAAAACCTAAACTATGCCGTTGCTGAAGACACCAAAGCACTCAGCTCATCTCTTTGATAGTAGATGCTCAATAAAGGTAACTTTTCTCCCTCACTGAACCTTGCAGGATAGATAGGATTTGACAGCTATGGAGGAACAGAGAGACTATCAGAAAGAGGGAGGCAAAGAAGGAGAAGCCCCAGTAGTAAGAATGAACACAACCATCACGAATGGACTGTAAAAAACCTTGAATGGTGGGACTCCATTATGTAATGGAGAGTCACTAATGACTTTTTTGGAAAAAATAGTGTGAGGAAAACTGTTTGGAGATAAAATGAATGGGAAGAAAACTGAGCTGGAGAGGTGCCATAGTGTTGTGATTAGGTAGACCTCAAAATTTTGTCTGTGAAATGCACACAGCATTAATACCTACTTCAAGGAATTGGAATCTTCATGGGGGAATCAATATACATTCATTTGGCCTTTGTCCCTGGTTTCTGGCACAGAGGTTCAAAAACGCTTGAAATTTCTGGAACGATAGGAGGGGTCTTTTGTTATTCACAATGAGACCTGTTCCATGATATTTGAATCTAACTCAAGGAAGGGGTTGCCTATGCCAGCACAACAAGAATGTGGACACCCTGCTGGACACCGGGATCAATCACATGGTGGAACCAATTCCTCACAGAAACTGAGGGATGATTGATCTGGCATTTTCCTGAGTCCTATTAATCATTCCAATGAATTATCAAATTTGGATTCATGGGGATCCCAAAACTACTACTTGGTGTCTTTGTTGACTGGCTTTGTGTTGCTCTAGCAAAATACCTGACGTGGGGTGCTTTATAAAGAAGAGAGGTTTATTTAGCACACAGTTCCAGGGGCTGAAAGTCCAAGATCAGGCATTCATATCTGGTCAGTCTCTGGTAGAGCCTCTGGCTGTTCATAATATGATGGATGGTATCCCAGCATGGGAGCACATGTCAAAGCAGCAAGCAGCTTATGTGGAAGAGATAACTTGGCAAGAGGGGAAGTAAGAGAACAAGCTGCAAAACTCCCATTACAACAGGCTCTCTCAGTAACCGATTCAGTTCCACAAGAAGGAAAACTTAATTACTTACATTAATCACTTCTAAGGATGGTGTCCCAATGACCTAATCACCTTCCACTAAGCCCCACCTCTTTTTTAATTATTGTTATCATATTATTGTTGTACTGGGGGTACAGTGTGACATTTACAAAAATTCTTACAAAATATCATAGTTAAATTTCATTCTTTTATTCCCCTTACCCCCATCCCTGGAACAGTTTCAACAGGTCTCATTTTTCCATTTTCATACATCAGTACATAACATTTTCACCATATTCACCCTCCTGCACCCCTCCTTATATCCTCCCCCTCCCACTGGTGCCGCCAACCCCGGACAGGTCCCGTCTTACCTTCCTGATCTCCATTTTTGAAAAAAGACATTCTTGTTTGTTTAAGATACCTATACTGGGTATTTGTGACATTTTCATGTATATTGTACTATAGCCCAATTTGGTTCATCTCCTCTGTTTTTCTTTCTGCCTTAGTCCTCTTCTTATTCTGATTTCAACAGGTTTAAAAATTCTATATGCATTCTTATATAGAAGGTACATCAACAATAGTCGCCTTCTTAACTTCCTTCTTTTACCCTCCCTCTTCTGTTGTAAGTCCTCTTGAAGGTCCCTCTTCCTAGCACCATGCTGGGGACCAAGACTCAACATGAGTTTTGTTGGGACAAACCAGATTCAAGCCATAGCAGTTGGCCAGGCAGAGGTTCAGATAACGTGGGATACCTGAGAATTGCAGCTAGCATCTAAAGTGGGAACAGGCTCATGAAACTCAACCA